AACCCTTAGTGTTTCTGCACCGTCTAACTTGTGTCGATTATGATCAACAGACATCTATATGCAAGTGGACTGAAAGGACCTATTCCTGATGCAGTCACCCGCCTAGAAAATCTTACTGAACTGTAAAGAATGATTCTCAATAGATTAGCAAAAGGATCATCGAAATGAGGCTGATGTTATGTATTTATGCAGGAGTATTAGTGATACGACTGGGATAAATTCCTTTCCGATTATATCTAGCAAAGTCATCAAACACCTGTATGTATTTCCCATTGAAGCATTTTGTTTTCTCGTCTTGAAGTTTGATTTTATATGAGAATGTTATACTTGAGCTTCCATCACTGTTTCAGGATTTTGAGGAATGTGAATTTGTCTGGTCCAATTCCTTCTTACATCTGGAATTTGACATCCCTAAAGACTCTGTAAGTTATTAAACATATATTTAAAAACAATTTGTAAGTTTGAAACATATCCACACTAGCTTGTTTAATATCTTGCACATTTACCTGCTGAGAAGTTTGCGTAGGACTGGATGCGTATCATGTACAGTTATATGCTTAATTTTACTCCACTATAAGCACATGAAAAAAATGTTGTAGAGAGGAAGGAGGTAACGTGTTGTGAGAGTGATATGCAAGTATGAGAGCATATATTTATAAGCCTTTGCAGAATCTATAGATTGTATTTGCAAAATTATGTTTCGATTATAAGAAGTTCATTTATTCTTGCACGTTTGCTACAGGGATTTATCATTTAACAACTTAACCGGTGAAGTTCAAGGAGGACAAAAGACTCCAACATTTACGTAAGCACTATAATATGAGATTGAGAGTTTAAAGATTTGGAGACCTTTTATTGTAAATACTACAGAATCACTTTGTATATTTTACCATTCAACATGTTCTTTCAGCTATTTGACTGGCAATATGCTTTCTGGTTACATTGAATCTGGCGCTTTACTCAACAGTATACCTAATATGTACGTTTCAAGCCTTCCCTTTTTGTATGGTTTGAAAAATTTGCTGCCATGTCAACTAATCTTCTTGTCGGTTTTCTATATTTGGTGGATCTTCACAGTGATCTCTCTTACAACAATTTCTCATGGTCGCCTAGCTGCCAGGAAAAGAGGTATGAGCATGAAATCTTGGTAGGTAGGATATGTCTTCTTCTATTTGGTTATAAACTGATTATCCTGAAGATTCTCTGCTCACTTTATGTAGAATCAGTAACATTAACACATACAATAGCTCGTATTTGAAGAAGAATTTGTAAGTATACTCACTTTATCTTGCAACAAGAACAGAGTAAACTTAGTTATCTCTTGCTTTCGTCTACGGAATAGAAATGGTTTGAATGTCTTGTGCTGATGAGATAGATGCCTATTGTCATACAGAACTGGGCTTCTTCCATGCGCTGGTTCAATCAACTGCAAGAACTGTAAGTACATAGTGAGCTGTTTCAACTTATCTCTAAAATGCATTAGATAAATTGACATAATCTTTTTTGTTCTGTTCTTAACATTAAGAAATCGGACACCTCTACTTTTTCTACTGATGGTGATAATTGTTACGGATTGTAGATGAGCGATCACTACACATAAACTGTGGTGGAGAAAGTGTAAATGTTACAAACTCCTGGGGTAAAATAACATATCAAGCTGATAACAGTCAAACTGACGCTGCAACAAATAAGGTCTTGGAAAACTGGGGAATCAGTAACACAGGTTCTTTTACCGACGATGCAAGTGATCATGATATGTACTTTGTTTCAGCAGCACCGGGAGATCTTTATGACCTTGATAAGAATACACGTCGATCTGGAGTTTCTCCTGATCTTTATAAGACTGCACGTCGATCTGCTCTCTCTCTAACTTACTATGCATTCTGCTTGGAAAATGGACTGTACAATGTGACACTCCATTTTATGGAGATTCAGTTTTCAGAAAAAGAATTATACCATCATGTCGGTAGGCGCATATTTGATGTCTACGTTCAGGTAAAACGTCACTGTTTAATTTACTGAATAAATTCATCTTTGAAAAATTAATTGCGTGGAAGATTAATAATGTTTAATTGCTTTTGTCCCTTTTCTTCCCTGCAAGGGAGTATTGTTCTTGAAGGATTTTAATATTAAAGAGGAGGCGAATGGGACTCTAACTTCTCTTGTGAAAGAAAAAAAAGCTGTTAATGTGACCGATCATATGTTAGAGATTCGGTTGTATTGGGCTGGGAAAGGGACAACACTCATTCCCCAAAGAGGAAATTATGGTCCTCTTATCTCTGCAATCTCCTTGTGTCACCACAGTAAGTACCTCTGATTGTTGAAACTCCAAATTATTTGACTATCTCAAGTCTCTACTGTCCAACACATTCTCATAAATGGTTATGTTATTTCATGCTTCACCCTTGTATTCTTGACAGTAGTTCGTGCCACCTAACCATAAAATTGATTTTCAAAATTTCAGGTCTGGAGCCACAATGTGGAGGTCCATAGACAAGAAAATATAACTATTGTTGCCTTTCTGTATCTTTGTGTATATATTTACACCTCAATATCTCATTTGCAGCGGAGAAAATAAAACATCACACAAATTATCCCCTAATTTTTGGAGCAACTGGTGCTTTGATAACAATTATTCTCGTGGCTTTGGGAATATATGCATGCAGAGGAGACAAGAACAGCAGAGAAAGAGGTACCAGTGTTCACAAACTCTATGTACCAGTGTTCATTTTAGCATGAGTAATGATTATCTTTCGGAAACCTGATCACGTAGATCTGAGAGCCCAGGGTCTGCAAACTGTTTGCTTTACATGGAAGCAACTGCAAGTTGCAACAAACAATTTTGATCAAGCCAACAAACTTGGAGAAGGAGGTTTCGGATCCGTATTCAGAGTATGCTAAAACTGAAGCCAAGTTCTTCTCAAACGTAGATACCTGAGAAAATATGGCTGTTTTTTTGTTTCTGATATGAGAAACTTATTGCAGGGAGAGCTGCCTGATGGAACTATCATAGCAGTCAAGCAGCTATCTTCCAAATCATGCCAAGGCAACCGCGAATTTGTGAACGAGATAGGCATGATTTCAGGTCTGAATCATCCAAACCTTGTGAAGCTTTATGGATGCTGTGTCGAAAAGAATCAGTTGCTGCTCGTGTATGAGTACATGGAAAATAACTCCCTTGCTCTTGCGCTTTATGGTAAATCAGCTTTCCATTTTTGAGTCTACTTACTAAATCAATTGTACTCATATCTCTGACTCTGGTTTACATCCATTGCCAGGAAAGAGTTCCTCAAAATTAGACTGGGTTGCGAGACAAAAAATCTGTGTTGGAATCGCAAGAGGGCTTGAATTCCTTCACGAAGGATCCATGATCAGGATGGTCCACCGTGACATAAAAACCACTAATGTGCTTCTAGATGCTGACCTTAATGCAAAGATATCTGACTTTGGTTTGGCTAGGCTCCATGAAGAAGAACACAGTCACATTAGCACCAGAATTGCAGGAACCATGTAAGAGTAGATTATAAAACAAAAACCACATCGTGGCCTAAGTCTCAGCCTGTGTTTCTCATATAATGCAGCGGATATATGGCTCCGGAATATGCACTATGGGGTCAGTTGACAGAGAAAGCAGACGTGTACAGCTTCGGGGTTGTGGCAATGGAAATTGTTAGTGGGAAGAGTAATATGAAACAGAAGGGAAGTGCTGATCACTTCTCGCTTATTAATTGGGTAACTGTGGAGTTTTTCTTTCTCTTTCGCCCATTTGATTCACAATTTATGTAGTTGAATCTTTGTTGTTCTGTTTCCATAAGTTTACTGAAACCTGTTTTTGCATAAAATCTCAGGCGCTGACCCTGCAACAGACAGGGGACATAATGGAGATCGTAGATCCAATGCTCGAAGGTGATTTCAACAGCAAAGAAGCAGTAAGGATGATAAAAGTTGCTCTTGTTTGCACAAACTCATCTCCTTCCTTAAGGCCGACAATGTCAGAGGTTGTGCAAATGCTCGAGGGAGAGCTGGATATAACACAGGTTATGTCAGATCCTGGTTTATATGGACACGACTTGAGCATCTCAAAGCTGAGGGACAATGATACACATGGTAGCTCGAGCACGTCTGGTGTGACCGATCAAACAACGACATCGAAATCCTCGGTTTCTGGTAATGATCTCTACCCATTATACCCAGAATCCGCGATCCTATTCTCCACAGTAGAATCTTCTTCCTCGTCACTGTAATATCAAAAGCTGTACGAATTGCCTTTCCTCTTATGAAAGAAGAAAGGCTCTTATAGTTATCTTATATCAGTAAAGTTGTTTAAACCGTACGTTAGCTCAATATCCCCTTAACAATGGCTACTTCCTCTCTGTATCCGAAAATCCGTTCTTTATTCTCCTTCTCCACGGCTTCATGACGAGATGGCAACTGAAAAGTTTCAAGTCATAACCCATTTCTAGCATTTCTGACTGCAGAATCTTTAGTGTGTCGTAGATTGTATCCATTTCTGGATGTGAAATATCTTTTGTTTTAAACTTATAGCATGGTTTAGACCGATAATTCGGTTCCTCTTTGGTTGCTACAAGACCTGCACTTGACATTTTGTCCAATCTTGTGGCATCCAATTTCTCAACCAACTCAGCACATCTATCTCCAAGCTCTAGATCTCCGTGAACCCGAGAAAGATTCATCAGTGTTTCCCACACATCAACGCTCGGCTCCATTGGGATTCTCTCAACAAAACTAATTGCCTCGTCCAAGAGAGAGCAGATGTTGCCAATATCTTGGTAAAACTATGATAGTGTTCCATGGAAGGTATGATTCCATAGTCTCTTTGCATAGATTCAAATTGCATTGATCCTTCTTTAACATCACCTATCAAAGTACACGCGGAGAAGACTTCTTTGAATATCTCTCCGTTTGGTTTGTTCCCTTCTTCTTTGAAACGAGTAAACAAATCGATTGCTTTTTCACCGTATCCATTGTTAACAAAACACCTCATCATAACACACCAAGTCTCTATATTCTTCTCAGACATTTCATCAAACACTTCAACGCATCATCAACAGATCCATTGTTAGCAAAACACCTCATCATAACATACCAAGTCTCCGAGCTCATCACAAGCATTTCATCAAACACCTTCCGCGCATCATCAAGAGATCCGCAACCAGAATACATCTCGATTATCGCATTACGAGAGCTAACATCAGAAGAAGAAACCAGAGCAAATACATACTCATGAACAACCTTTGCTTCTTCCAAAGCTTCTGATTCACTACATAGTTTCGCTAACCTTAAAAGCCTGTTCAAATCCATAGCATAACCCTTGTTCTCCAAGTAATCTAAAACCTCCACAGCTTCTCTCGTATTCCTTTGATTGCATAACGAATCGAATGACTCAATAGCATCATGTTGAGAAACACTCAAAGGAAACTGTGTTTTGTATTGTCCTGGGATTGGATTCTGTTGTGTCCATTTGCGTCCCCCGGTTACGTCTCGCTCAAGCAAAGTGATGATCTTTCTGAGGTGATAACGACGAATGTGAGACAAGGTCAAGGCTTGACACGAACTGAACCAGCGGTTTCCAATCTGCGTTGTTAAACCTAAATAGGGTTTCGAAAGTTTGAGCCACAAACGCAGCACCACCACCATTACGCCTTGTCAAACTCTGGTGACTGAGAAAACCCTAATGAGAATTTGGAAATGGTCAGAGTCGAGTCGAACCCTAATGAGAATTTCGCATTAGGGTACGATGATATTTTTCTTTAATTACCAAAATTAGCATTTGTTGAATTTAATTTGGCGTGACCTCCAAGTTAAAAAAACCAGAAAATAAAAAGGTTCGAGTATAAAAAGGTTTGAGTTATGGTTCACTAAACCGGGCCGGTTCAGTAAAGGGTTTTATGGAGAACTCGGACCAGAGAGAGAAGTAATCTAAACGCAGCGTTTTGAAGCAACTTTCCTCTAACCTACTTTGGGTCTGAGTGATTATTTTTGTGTTTGGGACTTGAGAACCACTCACTTCAACAGAGAGACATGGAAACTACATTTTAGACCAAACACACTCTTCAACACTAAATCAGGTTC